TATTTTTCATTTTAAAAATTATGATAAAATCTCAATTATTCATGGTAGATAAATAAATAATTAAAATTTAATATAATTAATATATATAAGAATTATGGGCTTCATATATTATAGTCTAAACTATATTAAAAATACAATCTATTTTGTGAATTGGTTAAAATATCCTTAATGAAATAACATAAAAAATAATTTTATTAAGAGTTTTAATAAATTTATAAAGTAAATTCACTTTTAATATATAATATGCTTGTAAAATACATTTTTGAAGAATTATATATAAGTGAATTCTAAATTATATGCATCCATGTCGCTGGCACCTTGCTTGAATATTTAACCGAAAAAAAAAAAAGGATGAAATGAAAATGTTTTGGCAGAAGGGAAGCTTCTATTAAGACCCGTGACAATAATCCTCCTACCATTACCATACCAACAAATCCATGGCAATTGTCATTGCCAGTGTTTTCCCTGTTGTCTGTCGTCTGAAGTGTTAGTGGCCTACCAACCAGCAGTGCATACAACACCGGCTGATGGGGCAAAATACCAGTCGGTATTCATAGCGAAAACTGATGTTATGCAAATACAAGCTTTTCACCTCAATATCTTTGGACAAGTACCATAAGGCTAAGTACACAAGAAGAATATAACTTGGAACCACCCCACCAAAATGTAAAACAAGAAGACAAAGTGCTATGTTTCTATGCCTTTATACCGAGAGTACATAATTCATTTTTACCATGCTTTGATCTCAAACCAACAAACAATATATGCTAGAATTGTACGTTACAACCAAAACTTCATTTTCACTTCTCTTATTCGTTCCTCGTAAACACTTGAAAGTTGAAAATAATTCACAAGGTGGGACAAACGGTAATTTGAGGAGGCATTTTACCAAATGGAACAGAGAAAGAGAACTCATCTAGAACAGCAAGAATAAGTGTTCTGAGTTTGCTTTGAGCTATCATCATTTGCAAGGCTTACCCTATTAAGTGTCAACTCAGCTTTATATGAATCAGAATGTAAGACCTTCCTGCTGACATTGTTATAGATCTCACGGATAACAATCTCAAAAGCAGTTCTGACATTTGTAGAATCACGAGCAGAGGTCTCAATGAAAAACAATCCTTCTGCCTCTGCTAGGGTTTTACCTTCTTCTGAAGTCACTTCCCTGATATTTTCCAAATCACTTTTGTTCCCCACCAGCATCCTTGCTACAGTACTGTCACAATGTGCTGCAAAGTTATTTGGAAAAGCAAAAAGAAATTTAGAAATTTAGAAATTTGGTTAATAGTTGCAGCACCTAATTCAAAAGCAGCATAATGAAAACTAACATAGAATTACAAGATTAGTTAGAGAATGGCGTGAACCATAGCAAAAATAATTCACAAGGTTAGCAACAGAGGGCAGCCTACAGCTCGTTCAGCAGATAACAAAATGATTCAGATGTAAACAAAAGTAATAAAGCCTCAAGTCTGTTTAGACCAAGGTGCTCAGAAAAATACAGGTTTATTTTATTTTTTTGAATACAAGTTGATTTGACTTCCTAAATAAACTTCCTACATAAAATTTTGATGCAAACAGAAAGATGACAAGAAAGACAGATTAAATGATGTTAGGTAACATTATCCTCTATTGATTAAAAAGGGTAGCCTTGGTCATATATTCAAGTTGTGCCTCTCCACCCGTTAAGAATTGGTTTTAGTTTGGATGGTTTAACAAATATGAAGATCTAAAATATTGGTCTCATTTGAAATCAGGTATTCTTGATGGGTAGCCTTGGAGTAGACAGAGTTCATCAGGTCATACTTTGAGACTTCTTTTATTATTTATTATTATTATTATTTGGTCTTTCTTGAGTTGATTGTACTATCGTTGGTGTCAATTGGTACACAACTTTTTGTTTCTTCCACAACACCAAGGATTGACTTGATTGGTAAGTGAGTTTGTTCTCCACCCGATTAACCAAAGCTCAATTCTTGGTGAAGCTACAAAGAGGCAATTGCTCTGGAGTTTCCTAGTCCTAGAAGACATGATGACCTGTTTTTGAATACAAGAAAGAGGGGAACTTAACCTAATGCATACAAGTTGGCCCAGGATACAAAAGATGATGTCACTGTAAAACCAAAAAAATATGAAATTAATGGTACTATCCTATTAATGATCTCAAGTCTTATATGGATAAGGAAACCATCTTAAGTATGACTGCTAATGAAACCATGTCTTTAGCATTTTTTACTCTTCTCCTTCAGTTACTGCACTTAATCTTGAACTATACGTCTAAAATGAGTCTTCCATACTACTACAAAAGTCAAAACCCCACAACCCATGTCTACTAGACTGTTAACTGAGACCAACTTCACTTCACCTAGATGAGAAAAGCCCTTGAGTACAACTGTGCTTCTCCTGCTCATTGGTGGGGCTTATAATCTTCCTTCTGCATTCTTGTATGAGGGGCACTGCTTGCAAGATTATTTGTTTAAAAAAAGAAAAAAAGGATAATTTCAAGAGACTGGTAGAGGATCACACTCCAGACAAGACTAAAGTGATTTTGGATAAAGATTAAAGATGATTTTTCAAGGAGGAAGGCCTAGAAAAAGACTTAAATAATAAGGCAGTTGTTGCAACACGAAAAAAAAAAAAAGAATCTCTGATATTAAACAGTGGTACTTCTAGGAATTCAGGAGGTGCATGCCAATGTGTAAACCGAAGAAAGTAGAAATTGGATGATAATTGAAAAGATCTTAGACACTGCTAAATTAGTTCCTATTTTTCAAGATGCCCAAGATGTTGACTTCACCTTTTCAACAAAATTTCATGCTAAACTACTTTCTTGTTGGGTTTCAAATGAGAGTTCAAGTGAAATGCTGTTGAAAATGGTGTACTTAGTTATCTCAAGTGTCTTAGTGCTTTGAGACTTAAAAACTCAAGGACGAGTTTTCACCGAGGGGGGGAGAATGATGCTGATCATTAAGGAAAATCTATATTATCTTGGGTTCTACAATAATTATTCAATATTTAGGAATTAATTTATAAAATATGATGTAATTAGTTAATTGTATTTAGTATTTTATATTTAGGATTTGATATTTTTCAATAAAGATATTTCTATAGAGCCTAATTACGTATTTAGATTTTTCAACAAAACATATGATGAATTGAATTAAGTTTTTCAAATTCTCCCAATTTGACTATTCTCTCTCGTTTATTTATCCAAAAATCCATTTCTTGCTTTACATCAATTTTGGTATCAAAATTACCAAAGATCCCAAAAATCACAAGCTTTCATTTGCCAAAGAAAAAAGGGAAAAACCGCACCAATGGTTATTGAACTTGATCACAATTTTCATTTTGGTCACTCACCTTCAAATTTTAAATGGTAAAACTAAAATTCCACCAAGTTTGATCATGAAATGTGCATGTGGCAGTGAAAATTCCAGTAGTGTTAAAATTATGATCATATGCAAAATATTGTTGGCATGGCAATCAAGACCCACTTAACACTTTTTTTTTGGGATTACGAATTTTCATGTCAACTGTGAAAAAAAAAAATGTAGGAATGCTAGTGAAGAAACAAATAGGTAGGGTTTTCAGAGTAAAGCATGCAGCCAAAAAAGGAACAATACCTAGAGAAACTCATGGAAGAAAGAAATAGAAAGGGTTTTCAAAGCAGAGCATGCAGCCACAAGGAAAAAGATAACGCAACCATGAGGAAGAAAAGGATATACGTCAAGCATACTGTTCTTTTGGTTTTGTTATTTCTATTTAGGTTTAAATGGTTAAAAATTCATTTTTTTTCCCTTTATAATTAAATATACATTGTCTAGATTCTAATTTAAATGGGGTATTTTTGTCACATTAGAATACTTAATGGCAGTGCCTGCCACAGTGTGCAAGGTTCTGTTAGCAACCTTGCAGCACTTAGCAGTTTGCAAAATCACACCCCGACCCATGGTTAAGTCAGCTCGACCCAGGAAATGCTTAGGGAGACAAATCCAAGGGCACCTGACAGGAGAAAACTTAAGTAGCGCAAAGCAGATAACTGAACAAAAGTGCTGTACTAATACCCAAAAGGAAAATACAACAGAAAAGTGTTTAGTACAAAGCAAAATGGATCCTGTTTGGAGTACAAGGAGTCTTCTCCTATTTATTGATGGGGACATGCCTCCTCTTTATAGATGGGGATTGGCTGTGCTACTACCTCAATGGAGGACACATGGATGGCTGAAATGGGTGGCTGGTAGTCACTTTACAAGTTTTCATGTAAGGCCATCCTCCCCTAAGGGTTCCCCTTGTTGAAGATAATCTTATGGAGGCTTCACTCCTTGACTCCCTCAAGGGTTTCCTCCTACAGAGAGTAACGTTAGGTATTCCAACACCTAGGGTAAGTTCCTTTAGGCCTAGTCCACGGGCCTGCTTCAAGTGCAACTAGTTAAGTTTCAAAGTGGGCACTTCAAGCCCACTTTACTAAAGTGAAACATTACAAGTAGTTCTGACAAACTGAGGTTCTATAGCGCTCCACTATTCCCCTTACACAGTCGAAGCAAGTGCTTTGACAACACCATTGGAGACCCCAAATTGTGATTTCAAAATTGAAGGTCAAGAATCATAAGCAAAACTCAACTTTTGCAAAGCCAATGAAGTACCTAAGCCAAATCTGCAAATAATTCTTTGATTGATCAAAGAACTTGTGCTGAAAAGCAATCCATAGAGCATTGGCAACCTTGCTGCCAAAGTCATAGTTTGATCAAAGCTCTCACACGCTTACACTCACAGTTCCAAACAATTTCGATTGGAATGGAAACCCATGTTCAGTCGGTTTGATCAGCTATGGTTGCCACCCAAGCACCACTTCAGTCCCCCTGTCAATATGACTGCCTTCTTTTCTTAGGAACCCTACCACACCTATTATTGATTTTTTGAGTCTTATTTTGAGTAGCACTAGGCATGGTGCCACCAGGGTTATCAATAGTGAATAGTGGAAAATAGCAGGAAGGCAAAAATCTACTACAATTATAGCATAGCGGATGGTGAAGTGACCGTTATTGGCAAAATAGCAGCCATTAAAAAATATATAAATATATTTAATAAATAAAACAAAAAAACATTTTTTTATGAAATAAAATAACAAACCTGATAGAAAAAATACATAAGAGGACCTAATAACTCATAAAAAAATAAAAAAATAATAAAAAAAAACCACAAAACTAACATTCTCAAGCAATTAAATGCCTTACATGAACTATGAACATAAGAAAGATAGAGAAAAATCAGATTAGGAAAAACAGAGCACTAAGCATCTGGTGCTTTTTTTTTTTTTTTTTGAACGCCAAGTTACACCAAATGAAAAAATAGTTTAGCTAAACCATAGGTACAAGAATAAAAAGTAACCCGATGCAGACAATTCAAAATTATACAATATTAGCGTATCATGCTTTAGATAAAACAGATTTAATATTTCCAGTTTGTGTTAGGAAAATGCAAACATTAATGTTGGGAGGTATTAATGGAAAAGAAAAGGAAAGGGCTGTGGTAGAAAGGAAGAAACAGTTGCTATGTAAAATTACACTATGAGTTGAGCAATACATAAACAAGTTTGTATATAAGCACATAATCTGCAAAAGCTAAAGAAAACCTTTCAATTTTTTCAGCTGCTATTGATAAACTGCCATGCCATGACAATTATTGTAGCAGTAAAGCTATGGGGCACTAGTTTGACACTATGGCGGCCACTATTGACAACAGTGGTTGCCACATTATCACAGGCTTGCAGCAACTACAAATTTCCACCAGTCGTTTGGCAACATGGGCCTCCAGTTACCAGGCCTACCACACTTTATTTTTTATTTTTCTTTTTCAATATTTTTATTCTAATTTAGTGGGAATAGGAAATTGAATACAACCTAATCAATCATAGGAATACATATCACTCTGAACCTCAAAAAACCCAGAGTTTGAAGTTTGATTTTCACTCTCTTTGATACAGTCCATTTTATAGGAGTTGAGCTGGCAAGGTTGTTAGAGTTGATAGAGTTTGTTAAAGGAAGGTTGTTAGTCTGTTAAGCTAGTTGAAGGAAGGTTGTTAGTCTGTTAAGCCAGTGTTTAGTTTGTTAAGCCATATTAGTAGTATATAAGAGACAATGCCCAATATGGATGGACTGAATATTGAACTTGGCTTATCTCTCTGTATCTTCCTTCTTCTTCCCCTCTATTTCATGTTCATCCTTCTTCCTCCCCTTTGTTTCTTTTCTGGTCTCTTCTCATTTCTCTTGTTCTTTCTTTCTAATCCCTATTTCTAGTTTGACAGCTATCAATTGATATCAGAGCAGTGATTGCTCGGACCTGTGGTAATGGCTACACAAGACTTGAGGCAAGAGTTTGCTGAATTTCAAAAGAAACATAATGCAGACATAGCAAATATCGACCTCAAGATAGCGTCTATAGAGAACACCTTAAAGGCATCAGTCGAGAATACTAATGCTCTGAGGGAGGAACATACAAAGTTGGTGCAGATCATCAACACTAGAAAGTTTTCCCCACCGGTAATCACCCAAACCTCCAAAGAACAGACACAGCAACCGATTTGCACTCATCAGACCTTCTGCATGGTCCCTGAAAGCCCAAATATTACTAATGACAAAGTTTGGTAAGGTGGATTTTCCTAGCTATGATGGTATTGAGAATTTTAGGGGATGGCTGCATAAATGTAATTGTTTCATAATGTCCTTGATGAACATAAAGTAGAAATAGCTTCCATGTATTTGCCTGGGGATGCCATCATTTGGCATGAATGTTATATGGAAGACAAGAAGACATTTCCTGATTGGAGGGATTATATTTTGGTTAAATCCCCATTTTGGTCCCTCCACTTTGGTAAAAAGCTCCTTTTTAGTCCTACTTAAAAAAGCCTTTTTTGGTCCCTAAAGTTTCACATCTGGCCCCTTTTTAATCCCTCTATTAAGTTTTGCATACGTGGCACGTTAGATGATAGAAATTTCAAAGTAGAGGGACCAAAAAGGGGCTAAAAAGAGACTAAAAATAGCCCAAATTTGGTCCCTCTACTTTGGAAAAAAGCCCTTTTTGGTTCCTCTCCTTTGAAATTTCCATCACCTAATGTTAAAACTTAACGAAGGGACTAAAAAGAGGCCAGATTTCAAATTTTAGGAAACAAAAAGGGGCTTTTTCAAGTAGAGGGACTAAAAAGGGGCTTTTAGCCAAAGTAGAGGGACCAAATTGGGGTTTTAACCTTATATTTTTTATATGAGTTTGAGGTTAGGGGGAGGGTGAGATGCAAGACCCCATAATCTTGTGGAAAAACTTGAGCCAAACGGGCAGTGTGAATGAGTATCAGAAGGATTTTGAAAGGATCAGGGTTAGAGTGAAGTGCAGTGAGAAACAAGCAGCTTTTATGTTTGTAGGAGGCCTGAAAGAGGAGTTGCAGCATTCTGTGACTTGCTACAATCCAAAGTCAGTTGTTGAGGCTTATGCAATAGCCAAGCACCAGGAATTGTCTGTCAATTCCATTATTGAGAAGTCCAGAAACCTCCCACGTCTCCTGCCTTTACCACTTGATTCCCACAAAAATATTTCCAAACACTTAACCCTACATATACCAAAACCAAAATACCAAATTACCTTATAACCTTCCCAAGCCACCACCATTTACTCCTCAAAACAGCCATATAATCTCTTCTGTGGCTAAGGACAAGCCAAGGAATACTAGGTCTTTATCAGAGACTGAATTGGAAGATAGGAAGCAGAAAGGATTGTGCTTTTGGTGTGATCAAAGATATACTATGGGTCATAGATGTTCCAAGAAGAAACTGTATAACTTGGAGATATATCCTGTTGATGAGGAAGGTGCAGTAGAAGCAGAAAATTTGGATGAGGGAATGGGCTTGAACCAGATTACTGTCATTGACAAGACCAAACCAGTGGTTTCAATTCATTCTTTAGATGCTAGAACAACTTATAATGTTTTCAAGGTGATAGGTTCAGTTGATAACAAACCAATTTTGATATTGATAGATTCAGGGGGCACTCACAATATATTGAATGAAGAATTGGTAGCTGAGCTTGGGCTTGAAACAACAAAAACTGAGAGCTACCTGATTTTCATGGCTGATGGATTCCATGTGGCAGGTACTAGAAAATGTGAAGAATTTAAATGGATGATGCAACGGTATCAATTCAAGACTAAGACACTACTGTCCACTTTATTTCAAATACAATGATGAATTCATTAAATCGTTGGCTGTACCAGAGAACATGTTTGAAAAGTTTCAAGAAGGCAAATTGTTAGCAACCAGTCCAAAGAAGGGGCAATGTGCAGTGGCCACGTTTTCATTAGAGCAAGCTTTATTTCAGGATAAGTTGGTTGGAGCTGGAGCTTGGATAGATAAACAAGTGCTGAAAGAATTGGTTAGACAAAATGCTGATTCAACATCTTCTTTTGGTACTTTATTCAATAATGAATATCAGTGCTTCTCTTCTGCCACCCATTAGATTTCTCTCTTGTCTATGCTATTCTCTCTCTGAATTTTAGGGTTTTCCATCTCTATTTCTTTCTCTTCCTTCCCCTCTATCTCAGTGCTCTCCACGTTTCCTTTATTAGGACAATCCATCCAAAATTCCCTTGTTCCATATAAAAACTTCATTATACTTACTTTTCTTTTCAACTTTACTAATTATCTTTTTTATTAGCTTCTTCTAAAATCTTTATCATCATTAGCTTTGTCACTGTGCTGGGCATCCAAGTGCCATCTTGAGCAGTGCAAACTAGTATCAAGTCTAAAGAAATTGCATGCCTCTAGAATTCTTACACATGCACTACTTGGAATATGTTGATTACAGATCATTTCTACTTTTCTTTTCTCTCTAATTGAGCAGATGCAATGTTGTTTTAACTATGTTGGTTTTCTTTTAAGCAAGCAGCTAAATATGACTAAAGATTTCATTGTATAATCTCAAAAAAAAAGTTAACAAAGGTTTGCATTAATGCTTCAGGTATGAAAAATAAACAAAATTTTTATGAGGCAAAGTTTGTTTGATATATAAATAGAATGTGACAGAAAAAAGTCATAACACACCATGAAATCTTTAAAAAAAAAAAAAACAAAAAAACAAAAACCTGCATCTAATGCTTACAGAATTAAAATATCTAACATTCATATTCTGGATATTTGTGTTGTTCTGTTTTTTGGTTAGATTTAAGAACATCACTTCAATCTTTAGACAACAAAATTAGTTCTACAAATATAAACCCTAACTTTAGATGTTTAAATGCTTAATGAGAAACTAACAAAGTCATTCTTTTCATTTCTAATCAAATTCAAAGCTTATTAATAACTTGGGTTAATGGGGTCTCTAAGTACAAAGCAACCTAAACGTCATAACATTGGCATCATTCAGTCAGTGCCATTCGCAATGGGTTGAGTGAAGCAAGGCAACTAACAAATACCAAACTGTTGGTATCTGCAGAAGTCACCATTTGGCACAATGGACCTGGCAAGTAAATTAACCAAGATGGTCCAGTAGTAATAAACAAGACAAAACAGTTTTTTCAGCAATTTCTGCAGAATTACTTGCTAGTGAAATATTGATTTCATAAATGTTACTTGCATGTCAAGATCTTTTGAGTACAGTTTAAGCCACAACAACCAGGTTTGTTGTGCAGAGCAGAAATTTAAACAAGTCGAGACCAATAAAATGAAAGACAGCTAATCTATATGGTACTGAATCAGAGCATGCATTTTAAGCAGACAGGAAACTTTGTGAGCAAGAGCAACCAAAGAAGAAATTAAGATAATAAATACAAGATAAGAAGCAAGAGAACTCACAATTAAGCTCATCCAGCCAGCGAGAAACGCTATCGAAAGTAGTCCTCCGACTGATGTCGTAAACAAGGAGAGCCCCAAAAGCTCCCCTGTAGTATGCAGAGGTGACGGCACGGAAGCGCTCTTGGCCGGCTGTGTCCCAGATCTGAGCCTTGATCTCCTTGCCATCAATCTTGAGGCACTGTGTCTGGAACTCAACCCCTATGGTTGTCTTGGAGTGCGCATTGAACTCGTCCCGAGCATATCGAGAGAGCAGGTTGGACTTGCCAACGGCGGAGTCTCCTATAATGACTATTTTGAAGAGATACTCTTCAGATCCCTCCTCGTCGGACATCGTAGCTGCAGTTGATTTGAGCGAAAAAGGTGAAGGCGCGTGAAACTAGAGACTACTTCTGTGGTCCGGTCTGGTCGCTGCACTGTGGAGCTGTATGTATTGTAATGAAATGGTTAAATCATAAATGACAATTTTGGTCCCTAAACTTTAAGTTTAAAAACAAAGTAGTACATTAACTTTATAAATCACTAAATTCATCCCTAAATTTTATTTTTTCAATCCCAGCTTAGTCCCTCCGTCCATGGATGTGCCCAAGTGGCACTTTAACATGCCGCAATTTCACACCTTTTAAATTTACATGGTGACATGAAAAAGAAACTTGCATTGATGTGCCGTATTGACGTGCTATAATTATGGACATCATTTAATTTGTTAAATGGACTAAAATTGTTAAATTTTTATTTTAATTTAAATGTGAAAAATAACTAATCAAATAGTTAATATTTTTTATTTAATAAATTAAAATAAATTTATAAATAAATATTTTTAAATATTATAATTAATTATTTAAGGCAAAAAATATAAACTGATAAAAATTGGTGGCCTTAATAATTTGAATGGTGGCAACAACTTGGCCTGTATTGATGATAGAGACATGTAGCAGCTTCCATCTTGCACATAATTTTTTACCTCAAAATTGGGTCCAACTAATTAATTAATTAATTTAATGGACTTATCTATTTTTTTATTATATTACCTCTAAAGGGCAAAGGTATTTTGATCGGATGATTAACGAAAGTCTACATAGAGGCCTCCTCAACATTAATGAGGAGTAAAAGATGAAGTAGTAAATAATGACTTGAAATTCATTCTCAAATTGAAATCCTGAGGCAAAAGATAGAATTTAAAATACAAACTTTTTACCTACTAAAATACACACATTCAAATACATGTATTTAAGTTAAATTTAATTACACTTTATTTAAACACCATCAAACAGTGATATTGAAATTGAAGAGCCCAAATTTAAATACACCACATGAAATTCAAGTTCCCAAATAGCCCCTAATTGAATTGAATAACTATTAACAAGTATTATAAGCCACTTTGATATCATTATTGCATTTAAAAGGGTAGAGTAGAAGCAATTAAAATAAAAATTTTCTTTAATCCTCTTTCACCCCACCTAAGATCTTTATAAATCTATTGATGGTTAAGGAAAGATTTATGGTTCATACCTCAATGACATGTATACCTCACTGATGCATGGATCTAATCACTGTCCTTTGATGAAGTCACCCAAGAATTTAAGTGTAAAACTCATCTAGCAGTGATCCACACATACGCTTGAGGATTTGAAGAAGATTGAATCTCTAATAATGCTAGAAATTAAAAACCCAATTAAATCTCCTCCTTTGACTTTTGGTAAAGAAATCTTAGTGGCCTAAATTTCTACAATAAATAAATCACCATCAAGGATTTAGGGTTTTTGACACCAAGTTATGTTAATAAGAATAGAAAACTTTCAACTCTAATTCAATTAAAATTATCGAACTTAATCTTCAGGTCAGAGTAGGAAACTTGGAAAGAGAAGACCTTCCTTCCTTTCTTTCTTTTTCCTTTACTTTTGCGGCAGACATTAGTCCATATTATACTAGTAATTTTCATTAGGGCTCTAGGCCCTCATTACCACACAAGCCCTAAGCCCAATGGGCTCTAGTTTCGACCATATAGTCCTCTTAGGACTTAATTGCCATTTTGGATTTTCTTACCCTTAATTTTGAACAAATCCTAATTAATTCTCTCTACCAATTTAATAATTTACTTCCCTTGTAAAAATAATATTTTTACATAAATTACTTTATATTCATAAACTTGGTTTTTGGAAATCCTAACCTCAAAAACACACTAAGTGTGTGACTCTTTAGGTGTTCATTACGATTGCAATGAGTAACACTCATAGACCAAGAACGTTTGCTAGCAACACATCACAACCACTCGAAATGATAGAAATGTCAATGGCTTTAATAAACCTTCCTATGACTAGTGCACGTGTGTAATTCAATCCCTTAGTTATCGATATCTCCATCAAGAAAGATACATGTTATGTGTCAACTATTAAGTTTAGGAGAGTATAGTGGAGTGAAAAAATATAAAATTTAATCTTATCTCTTTCAATCCACCTAGGATCCTTATGAATTCATTGATAGTTGAAAAATAGTTTATGATCAATACCTTAATGACGCGTGCCTTATTGATTCGTAAATCTGACCACTATCCTTTGATGAAGCCATCCAAGAATTCAAGTGTAGAATTCTTCTAGCAATGATCCATTGAGTCTATAAAGGTGCTAGTAATCCTAAAGTTAGTTTGTTCACCTTCAGGTTATTTAGAATAATTTTAGTAACCGAAAATTCTACAATGGAAAAATCCTCCATCAAGGTTTTAGGGTTTTCTACACCTATTATATTAATAGGGAGTATATAAGACTTGCAATTCTAATCCAATTAGAATTATCAAACTTAGTCTTCAAGTTAAAATAGAAAACTTGAAAAGAGAAGACTTTTCTTCCCTTATTTTTTCCCTTTCATACCACACTTCCCAATCCAATTTGAATAGAGATTTTTAGCCAATGCTCCAAGCCTATAATGCAACTCAAGCCCTAAGCCCAATGGATTAGGGTTTTGGCTCACGAGTCTTCCAATGACTTAAAGACCAGTTTGGATTTTTTTTTTTTTTTGTCCTTTAACTTAAAACAAATTCAAACTTGAATTAAGTAAATTAAATTAAATTAATTCTTTCTACCAATTTATTATGGATCTTGATTAATTTATTTTTTCTTGTAAAGATACTATTTTCACAAAAATTAATTTATATCCACAAACACAAATTTATATAAATCCCAATCTCTAGAACACACTAAGTGTGTAACCCTTTACGTTTCAATTGAGAAACACTCACAGATTAAGAGCGATATCTAGTAACACATCATGATCACCTAAAGTGATAGAAAGAGTCAATGGCTTTGATGAAACTTTCTATGACTGATGCATTTATGAAATTCAATTCCTTTATCATTGAAAGCTCCATCAAGCAAGATACTTGCTATATATCATCATTTTCAAAAGCTTGATGTATTTTTCTTTGATTCTTGAGATAGATATTGTCATGCCTCAAAACCGAGAGCAAAACAGACACTGTACACTTGTGAGGAACTCCCACAAATGTACAAGGCTTAAGCATACCTAAATCATATCTAGCAATTCACATAATGTAGATCCAAAGTCTCAAGTAAAATCTAGGTCTTCAATAACCAAGGTTTGGCTAGGCCAAAGTGTACAAAATTACATCACTTAATCAGTATAGTCATGGCTATAACCAATAATCAAGGGAACTTGGTATACAAAAGAATGGTTTATCATCCAACATCTATGTCAAAGTATGTGTGACTAATGACATAACTCTAAAACGATCTAAGACTAGAATACAGTGACTAGCCTTCTAGCTCGTCACTCCCCTTGGTTTCCTGTGTCTTGGGTCTCACTACCTAAAATGGTGAACAAGGAAAACTATGAGATATCTCAGTAAGTAAAATATGGATAATCCTCATTTATAGTTAAGCATGCCATCAAGTGTAATAAAATTTTAAGAAAAACAATATGAAAACGGGAACTGAAATAGACGTTTCCTCTATAAGTCATGACCAGTGTTTATAAACTTCCCACTAGCAAGCACAAGATTTGCTAGTGTATAATCCCACTAGCAGGATAACAAGTATAACAAGAATGAACCAGTTTCATAAGTAACATGTCGACATGTGCTAGCGTTCATAAATCTCCCACTAGCGGCATAAGTATTACATGACCACATTGGAGACTAAAACTGGCTATAAAGTACATTTCAAGTAAATTCAGGAAAACATGTATAACAGGGAGCAAGTAAAATACATTAAAAACTCTTATAAATAAGCTTGCTTAACCAATTGAAATCCAACTCAATAAAACAGAATCTAATCATGGTAGTTAAGCCAAAACAAACTTTTAATCCTGCCACCATCTCAAAATCAATAATAAGTTATGGTTCAAACTTACATTTTAATATCAAGGACGAACCATAAATTTACCTACCTCCCCATGTTGCTATACCATAAGCTAGAATTCAAGTCTCAAAGAGGCAAAGGTGTCTTAGAACCTATTTCATATCAAAAATAATAGGATCACAACATGCCTCACTCAACTAAATTGATCTTAATTCTAGCACCAAGTTCTAACCCAAAGGAAATTCCTCCCTATCCCCTCTTGCCATTTTTACCCACCAAAACCTTACTAGCATATGTATATTAATTCACATGCATAGCCATATTAAAAAAACAAAATTCCAAATATAACAGCAGACATTCCAAAAATATTCGGCAAGGAGTAGCAAAATTTTGGTAGATTGTAGGAAACTCTAGGGAAAACAGTGCAGAGAACAACAGGGGAAAGTGTAGGAAAAATACAGAATTTTTTTGGTTTAAGATAGTGCAGAAAACAACAGGGGAGAGTGCAAGAAAATGCAAAATTTTTTGGGTTAAAATAGTGTAGAAAACAACAAGGGAAGGTGCAGGAAAATGTAGAATTTTCTAGGTTAAAACAATGCAGAAAGTAGCAGGGGAAAGCGCAGGAAAATACAGAATTTTTAGGTTTAAAACAGTGCAGAAAATAGCAATGGAGAGTGCAAGAAAATGCAAAATTTTCTGGATTAAAACAGTGCAGAAAATAGTAAAGGAAATGCAGAAAAATGCAAGTCTGAGTAGAATAAAGCAGACAACAACAAGAATAAGTGCAGGAAAATGCAAATAAATTCTACACCACGACAAGTATAAATTCTGGACACAACAATAGAGAGTTCAAGACAAAACAACAGTAGAATCTAAGCCAAACAGCAGCAAAACTTTAGACAAACACAGCCACCAAATGGAAAATTTCTTAAAATAAAGCAGCACAAATTCAAGTGTGAGAACTACAGCAAAGTAAACATGACAGCACTTGATCTCATACTAGTTGCAAAAAACATCAACATTGTTGCAAGTTTAGAGGCAAGATAAACATAAACAAATTCCAAATTCACCTAACACAACACTGTCATGATCTTTCAAGAAGACAAAGAACAAAAGACCCATAGATCCTATGCTATTTCCCAAATCTAAAATAGTCAATATTCAACTAAGTTTACCAAAATTAGAGAAAGAAAGAGATTGGTTTCCTGCTCACATCATACCAAAAAATTGTGAGTGAGAGTGATAGTTCCTCCTAAAATGGAAACCCAAATGGTAGAGATAGCCGAAACTTGAGGGGGAGCCAGTGTTTGCTTGTAGAAAAGGGGAAACCCATGGTTGTCGAAGGTGACACGCGATTGCAGTGGGGTTGGAGAAACAATGAGCTGCTGTCTGGGGGATTTATGAGATGTGGGTGAAAAGGATTTGAAGGAGCGAAATTGGCGATGGGAGTTGGTGAAGGATGGAGAATGGTGGTGACGGACTGAGGACGGTGGGGATGGGTTAGGGTTCCTAAAATGGGAGATATTGGGAGCTTATACTCCCGACCCCCACCTTTTTTTTTTTTTGAGCTCCACACCCCCTAAGTTTGAAATTTGCGACCATTAGGCCATGCAAAAGATAGTTTCTCCCACATAAGTTTCTAACATAAAGTTTAAGGTTTAAGAAAATTTGGGATATTATAAACATACTTCTTAAATGAATCTTCATTCTTGCCATGGCCATGAACTTTGCAAGTAGTCTTCTCTCAATCAAAGGGTTAGAGATATCTTCTCTCAAAAACTTGTGAGAGATGAATCCTATCTTGACTCTCCTATTACTCTCATGCTATTCATGATGCATCCAATAACTATATTACTCGCAACCCCTTGAAGTGTGTTTTTAACAGCATCAAAGTACATGAGCCCTCACATAGAATAATAACAATATTAAATCAAAGGATCATTTACACTTACACTCTCGCCATAGCTAAAAAGCTATTGACACATGAATGTAAAGTTCCCATGAGAAGTCAAACCATTGCATTCAATTACTTTGAGTCACTTGCATGTGATACATGACTTCATAAGAAGAAGTCTTCCACCTAGCAAAATATCACACATTATAGTCTTTATATCAATGATGTCTTATCTCAATGATATGTATGACTAGTGGACAATTTAAGAATGTCATTATTACATCATTCAGTTCTCACTCATAGCAATGACTGTTATTACCTTTTGATGTAACAATCGTTCTAAGGATTTTATCAACATTTAGCATATGCAGAAAAAGAATAGTTAATCTTCAATAAAGAATTGCATAAATATAATGAGCGTAATCATAAGTATATAAGATTATATGCTTGATGTATTTTTCTTTGATTCCCAACATAGACATACTTCTTAAATGAACCTTCATTCTTACCATGGCCATGGACTTTGCAAGTAGTCTTATCTCAATCAAAGGGCTAGAGATATTTTCTTTCATAAACTTGAGTGGGACGAATCCTATCTTGACTCTCATATTACTCTTATGTTATTTATGATGCATCCAATAATTGTTTTACTCACAACCCCTCAAAGTAGTTGTTTTTAACAGCATCAAAAGTACATGAGTCCTCATATAGAATAATGACTATCTTAATCAAAGGACCACTTATACTCATATCATAGCTGAAAAGCTATTAATGACACGTGCATGTAAAGTTCTCATGGTGGGTCAGTCTAGTGCACTCAATTATTTTGAGTCACTTATATGTGACACATGACTTCGTGAGAATAAGTCTTGCCACTTAATAAAGTATCACATATGATAGTTTTTACATTATTAATGTTCCATCTCAATGATATACAGGATTAATGCACAATTTAAAAATGTTGTTAGCATATCATATCTCACTAATAGCAAGACTGTTATTACCTTTTAATGCAGTAAACATTTTAAGAACTTTATCGCTATTTAACATACACAAAATAATAATAGTTAATGTTAGATATAAAGAAAGCTATAAATATAATGAGTGCAATCATAAGTACATAAGATTGCCTTACCAATTTAGTTGGCTTGTAGGGCTTACTTTAACATTATGATTGAGGAGAGCTAGAGAGGCACTATAAGTTGCTATTGTTGTAGCAATGCTACCCAGAAGTAGTGGATTGTTAGCTTGTTAAATTTAGTTTTTCCACTTATTAGGTCTTTTAATATGGAGTATGTATCTCTACTAGTAAGAACTTTAGAGCACGAATAAATGATTTAGTGTTGAAATATATGTTTCCTCTTTCACTTTTTAGTCATTAGCACCTTTAGCACGCCCTTGCAGGGATAGGACCTATCATTTTGAACTACTCTTCTAAGAATGCTTTATAGCCAGGCACCATGTTGTTGTTTCACACAGCATGGTATCTTAGTTAACTTATTGAATGTGATGTATAGAAGTGTAAAAAATGTGATGGGTTTAAACTAGTAGTTATGCTTTTTTATAACTTGTTAAAGAAGATGTGAATCTATAATTTGTCATGGACAATCAAAACAAGAAAATCTATAATTTGTCATAGTGCATATGATTTTTTGTTAAGTTTGCAGTGGGGTTAATATTAATGTGTGGTAAAAAAAAAATGATTGACATCATTGGTTGCTGAGGTGTAAATATATTGATGTTTAGAACTATCTGCAAAGAAAATAGAAGACTCAAATAAAAGATTTGGAGAGGCAAAGAGTGAGAGAAAGGAAAAACTTAGAAATTTGATATGTCCAAGAGAGGTGAGATACATTTTATAGTTTTTCTCAGAAGGAGAGCTTTTGTTGGTTTTAAACTTTTAGAGAAAGTTAAATACTGATTTTAGTCTATAACTTTTAATTTTAAATATTTTTAGTCTATAAACTATTGTTCATATTTTTTAGTCCATAAATTATGAAAAATACATTTTTAGTCATTTTACCAGTTAGTCTATTAAGTTTGTCTATATATGCACATTTTTAATCCTTGAGTTTATAATTAAGGGACAAAAAACTGCATATATTATAAGTTTAAGAATTAAAAATATATATATTTCAACAAATTTAATATACTAATTAATAGAAGGATTAAAAAGTGCATGTTCATAGTTTAGGGTCAAAAAAGTGCAAAAAATAGTTTTGGGACTAAAAATGTTCAAAATTAAAAGATTAGAGAATAAAGAATAAAAAAGATATTTTACATTTAAAGAAACCATGTATATTAATATATGTAAAATTGAAATGACATGCAAGAGTATTCTTAATTGAGCCTTTTTGGGTACTTTTAGATTGGGTTTTAAATGAAGTTAAGTTGATTATTTTTTCAAGTATTTAACTGATGTTAATTTCATAATTATTTAAATATAGATTAGAGAATAAAATTATGTATATTTTGACAGACTTAACAAACTAACTTATAAAGAACTAAAAGTATTTTTCATAGTTTGGGGTAAAAAAAATAGAAAAAAATAGTTTTGGAACTAAAAATGTTTAAATTAAAAGTTTAAGGACTTAAAAATGACATTTAACCAAAAAGTATGTATATGTGAAATAGAAATGACGTCCAAGATTATTCTTAGTTGGGTATTTTTGAGTATTTTTAGATTGGACTATAAAGGGTGTTATGTTGAATATTTTTTAAATATTTAGATGGTATTCATTTTTAATTATTGAAAGATTTAAAGATTAATTTATTATTCTAACAAAAAATAACAATTAGAAGTTATAAAACCTAAAAATAAATACTAAAAGTTGTAGAAGGCCCAAAAAATATGAAAAGTTGCAGGACTTAAAAAAATTTAAAATATTATAATTATAGCATAATATAATATTATACATTTATAATACAATATATCATTATATAATTAATTTTTTTATTAACAAATTTATTCGTAATATATATTTATTTAATATCACATTATATTTATTTAACATTACATTTTAAATAAACCTTACAATCTTATGTTACCTTGTATTTGAAGGTGCATCTCAATTGGAGTATAGTAGTGTTATCCTGCGTTGTACCAAAATCCACGATTTTAATCGACATGCTAATGCTGTCAAGTATGGACAACCTTAACGGCAGCCATTGAAACAACCCTTTTCAGTCTCCGCAGACCAGTTATCTGCTACTTTGGGCAGTTGAAGGGCTTAAAAGCCACTTCTTTTAAAGTTGAGAGGCTTAGCATCGCTTTTTCGTTTTTAGCCTTCCGTCGGGGATATATATATATAAGAATGGCATTAGGGTTAACAATTTCATTCCAACCAAACAAGTTTTCAATAACCCCAATCGTCTCCTGTGCCGATTACCTTTCTCGTTCTCTTTGCTTGGGGGCTCAACTCACCTTGTACTAAATCTGGTATGGGTCATGACTTAACCTTAGATTTTGCACTAAATCTGGCAGTATCGTTACCATTGAAGATAGGGTTTGTGTTTTTGTTTCGAATTGATTTTCTTGTACTGATTTGCGCTCTTCTTCTTCTTCTTTTTTGAAAAATAAGATCATAGAATTTGAAATTTATTCGAAGTTGCAAGTGCCATCTGTGAATTAAGAATTAGATTTCTGGCTTACATTAAGAAAATCATTCCAGCTGTCATGAATTCTATCTTAGTTGATTGTCCTTCATCTATGGAAGTGGGACAAATAGAGATAAATAATCTGGTCTTTTTTATGAACGTAACTTACGGTTGTGATGGGTATCACTATTCCAGCTAGGAGATTTGTTAGATTCTATTAATCAATTTAACACATCTTCTAGGTTAAGAGTCAAATAAATTTAATTTTGAGCTGATGTAACTATCTAACCTAATCGCCACTTACTATGTAACCATCTAAAATCTGAATTCTGGAGCTGATTTTTTCCTGGTTTATTTATTTTATAGTTAACTGCTTCTCCATTTACTGCAATTGTGGAAGAAAGAGGATGTTTTGTTCAGTTACTGTTTTTTGAAGAGGAATTTGATATTTTTAACAGAAAATCCTGGATGAGAATTTGATTTTATTGGGAAAAGTTGACTCATTTCCTTGTGTGCATTGCAGTTATGGTTTTATGTGGTTTGTGGTGCTGAATCACCATGTCAAACGATCTCGTACAGCAATTGTCAGTACCAGGCAACCAAATGGCTCAGCTTCAACGTCTTTCAAATAAATTGGAACCGCCAATGCCGATCCAATTAATAGGATTGGAAACCAATGAAGCATTGCAGCAGCAGATGTCATCTTCAAACATTCCGATAGGACAGATGGAACCCGTGTTCAATTGTCCTGGGTCTCAATTATTATCAATTTCAAATCAGCAAAGTGGACAGATTCCACCCCAGACCTATCATCTGGTAGCTCAGCAGTATTTAGCACCCAACAATCCTATAGGAGATAGGAGTACCATATTGCACAGTGTGCAACCACAGCAATCCTCCATACTGAGTAAGCGCAAAATGCCTATAGAATCAATGTCAAATGGTCCTGATCTTCAGAAGTTGTTAATGCCAAACAAACGGGTAGCACAAATGGAACAGAGGCCATGGTTGCAACCAATATCTGCAGCTAATAACAGAGTAGTACAGATGCAGGCAATGTCTAACAATCCAGGGTCACATTCATCAGAATTAAGTAAGAAACCTGTTCCAAGTAAATCTGGCTCTTCAGCTTTAAGAGTTAAACCTGTGCCAATGCAAGTGTCTCCAAAGGCTCAATCTGAGTCATCGGAATCAGTTAGGTCCAAGATGCGGGAATCATTAGCTGCTGCCTTGGCTCTGGTTTTCCAGTCACAAGGGGAGTCTTCTAGTGTAGGCAAGATTTCACAATGTGAAGTTACAAGTTCTCCTGGGAAGACAGAGAAGGATTCTCATGCAGCTGACTATACTTCTGTTAATGTTGCCTCTGAATCAGCAGAACTGCAGGAGAGATTGCTCTCCAATGAGGATGGCGGTGCTCATGTAAATGTCAGTGATGCTACACAGAATGTAAAATGTGATGGGCAACAATTTCAATCAGATAATCTTTTGTCTGAGGAGGACGTTTCATTTAGTGAGAATGTTTTTGTCAGAGATGAACTTTTGCAGGGAAATGGTCTTTCTTGGGTATTGGAACCTGAAATAGAGATTTTGGAGAAAAAGGAAGTTCAAACTTTTGAGAAAAAGAATTCAGATGCTAAGGTGGGTGCAAATAATAGTCATCAACCTCTTAGAACTCCAAAAATTTTGGCGTTTAAAATAGAAGCAGAACTCTTCAAGTTGTTTGGAGGTGTGAATAAAAAGTACAAGGAAAAAGGTAGATCTCTTTTGTTCAACTTAAAGGATCGAAATAATCCTGAACTCAGAGAAAGAGTTATGTCTGGTGATATTGTCCCAGAACGATTGTGTTCTATGAGTGCCGAGGAACTAGCTTCTAAAGAGCTTTCTCAGTGGCGGCAAGCTAAAGCAGAAGAGCTTGCCCAAATGGTTGTTTTGACTGATACTGATGTTGACATTAGACGTTTGGTGAAGAAAACACATAAAGGTGAATTTCAAGTGGAGGTTGAACAAGCTGACAGCACTTCTGTTGAAGTTTCTGCAGGGGCAACAACACTTACTCGTCGACCAAAAACTGAGGCAAAGAAACCTGCTGCTGCTAATTTAATTAGAAGGAAGGATGAAGGGAATGCAGTAGATGAAAAGAGTAATCTTGAAGACCATAATGTTTCATCTACCATTACTATTCCATCAACTGAGGGAACCGATCCAATGCAAGGGCTGATGGTAGAAGATGAACTGAAGGATACTGAATTTCTGCCTCCGATTGTGTCCCTCGACGAGTTCATGCAGTCCCTTGATTCAGAACCACCATTTGAGACTTTACCTGGAGATGGTGTAAAATCAACTCCCATATCAGACAAGGGTGACACAGATGTTCGGTCTGAATTGAAGTCTGTGGGACAATCCCCACAAGAAGATACTATTGATGGTAGTCCAGATAAACCTGATACTATTGATGAGCGTAGGACGAAATACGACAGTGATACTAAATCTGGTGGTGTTCCTGTCAGAATAGAGGATGTGGATTCTGTTACTTTAAACTGTGAACAAATCTGGGAAGGATCACTTCAACTAAATGTAATGGCTGTGACCTCCGTCGTTGGCATTTTCAAGAGGTGTGTGCTTTATTAGGAGGGATATATTGTTTATATGTTGCTCTCAGCTATTTTTTACCAATCAATATTAGTTGCAGCTGCTTTTCTCTAGTTTTAGCAGTATTATTAAGATGCTTATGTGCTTGTCTTCGTGGTTAGTTTGTTACTCTCCAAACATAAATTTTTAGCTCTTAGAGACTGTGTTTGGACTACATTTGGGATCTCTAATATCAATACTACGTGTCTGCTGATAAATGGACAAGGCTTTAAATTTATATTTTTGAAACCCTCTAAATTCAGATGATTCTGTTATTTAGATGGTTTTTTCTAGTTTTATGAAATATATATCTTCTAGTTACAAACACGGACAGGAATAGTTGTGTTGGTGGGTGACCTGTTCTTGGGCATCTCTCTATCTTACCATGAATTTTAAATTTCAGACTACATGTTCAGGATTAGTCATTTCTGTTCATAATCAATATATTGACTGATAGAGAAGTATTCTGTCCAGATTTGGAATTTTAGTGTCAAAAGCATGTGTCAGTGATCTATGGGCAAGGCTTAATTTTAATTTTTAATCCATGTCACTTTCATGATTCAGATGCATACTTTGGAATTTCATAGGCTTAATGGGGTTCTTGATGTTTGCATGTATTAGTAAGTTGAAATATTTTTTGGGTGTTTGTATCAGTCTTTCCAAAAATATAGAGTAAAGGGGGCCTATGTAATAACAGGATCAAGTATCCAAGTGGAGGTTGAAAATTGTTCACCAACTTAGGATATAATGGATGAAAGAGAAAAGCTATTTGGAGTGTTGATTTCATGCTAAAGGGATTTGGGGTGAATGTTGGAAGTAGATAAATGGTCTTACAAGAGAAATTGGAAGACTAAAGTGTCTGCTAAAACTGGAAAGTTGTTTAGGTTGAATAAGCTCTAAGGGTGATCTGAGGCTTTTGTTGCTTGTTGATTTGGATGGATATCAGAAGACAACAACACATCATGGTGATGGGGTTTTTTTTTTTTTTTTTTTTTCTGTGCCTATTGTACTGCAGAGGATTTTTGTTTCCATCTCCTAGATTCTATGTTGTGCATTATGTATTGAGTTTTAGTGTTGTAGGAGAATAAATTTTCATGTCAAATTTCTGTTGTGTTCATTTTACAGTGGTGAAAAAACATCTATAAAAGAGTGGCCTAGCCTTCTGGAGATCAAGGGAAGGGTTAAACTTGATGCATTTGAGAAGTTCCTCCAAGAGCTTCCCATGTCCCGAAGTCGAGCTGTGATGGTACCTCAACTCAAATTTGTTTATGTTGTATTGAATTGTTGTATGGTCTTATATGTCCCAAGCAAGAGAAGGGCAAAACCTCCCTTTTTCTTTAAATTCCAGTTTAGTTTTCCATTTATTCATATTTGCTGAGTGCGGTATTGTTCTCATACTTAAAAATTGACTACATATGGGTTAAAAGCTTAGGGTGGAAAGTAAAACATAAGTGAATGAACTCCACTATGCTTTAAAGTCTGGTTAATATGATCATTGATTTTAAAGAAATTAGTGTATACCGTACAGAGAGGGTGAAAAGGGGATGTGGGAGCTTGGATCTGGTCAGTTGCCTATATATACATATGTTTACGGTTTTCTGTTGACCTTGAACCATTAGATGTAAACTTTTGGTAAAGAAAAAGCCATTAAAAAGTTGCCCAATAATATTCCTGCAAAAGGTAACAGATTCTTAACTACTGATGATTATTCACAGATTGCTAAATTTAAGCGGTAAGGTAACATAGAAAAATATTCAAGGGCTATTAGAGATTACTTTCATCTGAGGGGTTTTTTATTTTCTTTTTGGGTGCCGTAGGTGATACTTATGTGTTAATGCTAATGTTTGTTTTTGCAGGTGGTGCATTTTGTGTGCAAAGAGGCGTCCCCCAAGAGTCTGGGTGAAGTACGACTAAGCTTTTCAGTTTCTTTCATTCATTTTTTTTTCTTTTTTCTGACCAAGAAGCTCTTTCAGTTTTTTTCCATTTTATATGTGCCTCTCTTAATGAATTTGATTGATAACAGAAATGTCGTTTTGCAGGTGGCAGTTTCATATGTTTCTGAGGGGAGAGTGGGTTTTGCTGAGCCTGCCCCTGGAATGGAACTTTACTTTTGCCCTCCTCGCTCAAAAACACTTGAAATGTTCGCCAAGATCCTCTCAAAAGATCAACTCCATGCACTTAATGCTATAGATAATGGTCTAATTGGTGTTGTTGTATGGAGAAGGGCTCAATTAATTTCAACTTCACACCCCAAGCATATCTCCAGAAAGCAACATTTCACTTCTAGCTCTAGGAGACAGCAAGAAAAAGATACAAACTTGAATTCATCTAATCTTGTATCTAAGCCCGCCTCATCTACCTATTCCAAACCCCCGCCTGATGATGATGATGATGATGATGATGTTCCTCCTGGATTCGGCCCTGGTACCGTATCGCGGGATGAAGATGACCTACCAGAGTTTAACTTTACCAGTGGCACGAATCCTTCTGGACCACAGCCTTATTCCACCAGATTCTCATCCCAAGGGCCAGGATTGGTCCCTTCTCATTTACATCCGCGCACACCGTCTCGCCCCGTAGATCAAATAAGAGAGCTTATACATAAGTATGGACAACCCTCTTCAGGGATTATCTCCACATGGAACGATGATGATGACGACATACCAGAGTGGCTACCACAAATGCATAAACCTCAGCAACGAGTAGCGCCATCTCCAACCTCACTCAACAGTTTCCAGCAGCAGATTCATCGCCCCCAGGAGATACATCAGCAAGTTTTTCCGGCTGTTTACATACAAAGTCAACCTAATGCTGCCCATCAGGCACCTGCCTGGGGTGGTCCACAAGATCCCCGTGGCCAACCCGTTAATGGGGACCAGTTTTACGGGACCCCATCCTGGCCAAAAGATGCCCCAAAAAGTAGAGGCTTCTAAATATCTTGTACTGTAAATGAAATGTTCTCTTGGCTTTTAAGCTTATGTCCTTGGCTCTGGAAGCTTGGATGTCTTATATTATTAGGTGGTTTCAGTAGTTTTACATTATCAATTTTGTTTTCTAGTCAGCTAAGAGGTCTTTTAATCGAATCATATGCAATTGAAATGGTCTTTGACGCGTAAAATAAAACTCGGTATTTGTCAAGGATTCTGCATGATCAATGCAAGAATTAAATTTCTGTTATAATCATTTCGATTGTACAATTCGAGACTATTATATGATACAATTTCCCTGAGAAACATGAAGAATACAAAGGTGTAGGTTGCAGCAGCTGATGGAATGCAGATTGACATAATCAAGGGGCCATCTGGCCTTCTAGAGAGTCCTCCCACAATCCAGCGGCTGTAATGCATGAAAGCTTCTTGTATTAACCACCCAAGGCACGCTTGAGTCCTGCTTGTTGCTCTGGTGTCAACCTTCTAGGGAACTTCACATCAAATTTTATCCAAAGATCACCTCTATTACCTGCCTCCTTGGCTATTGGCATTCCCTCGATGGGAACCACAAGCTCATAACCCGGGTTTATAATATCGGCTACTGATAATGACAGATTACGCCCATCTAGAGTAACAAGATCTACCGTTGTCCCACCAAGTGCATCTGCCAGTGACATTCTTTTGTTCACAACGAGGTCGTTGCCATCTCTTTTGTAAAAATCATGGGGTTTCTCATCAATGATGAATACAAGGTCAGCTGGAAGCTGATTTGGCTGCTCGTTTCCTTTGTCTGGGAAAGTGATCTTTGTTCCCTTCTTCCACCCAGGCTTGATTTCAATAGTTAATATCTCTGATTCTTGTACTTGCTGCCTGTGGGAATTTTTTAGTAAATGATTAGTGACAGTGTGGCCTAGAACTTTATCCTTCAATCTTAATGCTCTTGAAAATAACGGGAAAAGCTAGAAACACGGAAAAGATTAGAGAAGATGTGCAATCATTCCACTATTCAGATCTTGTGATCAATTAGGGGTTGTATATATTAAAAGAAAAAAAAAAAAAAAGGAATTAGAAGGAAGAAACAAAACTCTAAGATATTCATCCATACCCAGCTGCAGTTGACAACAGTTCTAGAGATCTTCATCTTCCTTGTTGATCCACTATATAGCTCCTCAAGGCTGCAAGGTAATTTGCTTTCCACTGGTGGAGGTTTCCTTGGTACAGTCCCTTCACTGCAAGTTCGAAAAATGTTGTCAGTTCCACCAAATCCTCCAAATATGCCCCCATCAGGTGGGAACGTCGTGGACCTCCCTGGTCCAGACGACCCAAATCCAAAAGGGCTACTTCCAAAAAATTCCGCAAATATATCCTCTGCATTCCTTGGATTGAACCCATTTCCATTGCAACCATTTTTAAAGGTACATACAGTGCTGCCAGGTGGTGGAATATCTTTCAAGCCTTCTTCACCATATTGATCAGAAATTGCTCTCTTTTGAGGATCGCTTAGGACCTAGAACGATGAAAATCACTTAATTATTCATTTTTTTTCCCGCTAATTGAAAGAAATCCATTTACCTTCTGGAAAAAAGAATTGAAAACGAGGGATGATATAGACATCAACATAGAGAAGCAAACTAGTACAACTCAATGGAAGGAGAAACAAAACTGTGAATTCTATTTATGATTTCCAAAGATATAAGACAAGCAAGCATAGATAACCAAATTCACGCATCAAATATTTCTTGCATCAGAAGGTGGCATTTCTACTTGGTCTACAATATAGGCTCTAGCGGTTTAAGGTCAGATAATGCTCCTATAAGTTTCCCGTCATAACTCATTCCATGATATGCAAAAGCTTACTCTCAGAATCTTAATCCCAGAAGGACTGTAACATACAACCAAACACAGAAGCTTAATCCCAAAATCTGGAAAAGTGTAATT